TTCTACACAAAACTAAAATACACAAAATTACTTTATCATAGCCTTGTTTCCAAGCCTCTTCCCTAAGACTTCTCCAATTCCTGCCAAATCTGTTACTGCCTTATCCCCCATTGGCTCAGAAACAAAGTTTGTGTGTTTCTGAGATGTTGATGACATTTTTGATTTATAAATTCTTTAAACAGCAGAAGAGGGGTTGGTTGAATTTACTCTCTTCCAATGACCTACAAAAAAAAAACTTTATTTGCAACTAAAACACAGATCAAAGAATCAATACAAACACTATACCACAACTAACATTTTTTTTAACAATCCAAGCATATGAGGAACAACAAAGAATACAAAATAATATATAATCATACGTACAAGTACATTTAATCCAATAGATCTAAATGCAACTTCTCAGCAAATATCACATATTGGATAAGTAAGTATGTGTCAGGCAGTAATATATAACCTAAAAGTTTCTGTGCCTTACATTCTAGCTGCATCTACAGTATATTTAACTTTAAAATCTTACATGTTATTTTTGTACCTATCACAAATCTCATTAAGATTAAAAGATTCCTAAATGTTTATAATAACTCTCTTTGGCTTACTCAGTTTTCCATGCAAGTCTACTTTTTATTATACCTACTAAACGATAAAAAATTTACAAAAGTATGTTATTTCTTTTTGACAGTATCTAATGAATTTATATTTTGATTAAGTCTAATTCCTCTATTTTTACCTTTTTTTTAACTCTTGAAAACCTCATTTTTTGTATATGTTTTTTTTTTTTCTAGTCATGCATATTAGCAATTACATTACTGGTACCAAACTCAGCATGAAAACTGCTTCATCAATAATATAATGTGACCATAGCTGTTTAGAACTAATTTTAATAAAAAATATTTATATAAAAGCTTTTCTTGAAGTAAAGTTCCTTGTGTACAATAAATTCTTAAAATACAAAAATAATAGATACACCATTTAACTAAATTTCAAGTAATACTTTCATGATTTACCAATCTGAACATCTGTCAGTCCATTTACAAAACTAAAACCTTTTTACTTGGCTTACATATAATTGCTTAATCTTGCATTTTATTGTAATATTGTGAAAATAAGAAATAACTTTCATCTTGTTTTCAAATGAATATGATTTAAAAATGATCAAAAAATTTTAAAAGAAAAATGAAAAATAACAATTAAGAGCCAATATGAAGAATACAAGTTAACCATTGTGAACAGTTTGTTTCGAAAAACTTTTTCTAATATTGCTTAAAAGAGAATCTATTTTTGTTTAATATAATGAGTGAAAAAATAAAGTATAGCTACTTCAAACAGAGAGATAAGCTTGTTCCAGTCTTCACTTATTAACAAAAGGTTAAAGAAGATGCAAAATCCATTAAAATTTCCTAAATTAATGAAGAAAGAGGGAACAAAATTATATTATTATAATAATTTATGTTTATCTCTTTCTCTCTTAACTCTAACTTTGTCAAAATTCTGAAATGACAAGTTCTGGTATTGAATGAAATAAATCTTGGGCAGTAGCCTTTGGAAGACAAGATATAGATGTTATTCTACACACCTCAGATTTGAAATCCAAAATGGAAAAATTAAAAGAGACGTGACAATAAATTCTGATATATAGATGATTTTTAATCACATAGCTATATATATATATATTGTTCTACCAACACTTCCTATAAGTACAAGAAATCCAGGTTTAATATATCTGTAATCAACATTTAAGGAATGAAAAAGGACATAAATTTTCAGACTAATATTTTGTGTGTAATAAGGTGTATTTGACCTCATAAGCTGTCAAGCACTTTTAAAGGAATTCTTGGACAAGTGAAATATATAATTTCACTGACAGAAGATCCTGTAAAAGCTAAGGATAAATCCAGAAGGGCACAACTGTATGCATGACAAAACTGCTGGAAGCAAAAAATACGTACAAAAATAATGGTACAAAAACCATCATGAACAAGAAGATTAGTAAAAATTATAAAAGTATAGAAGTACACACATAATATTGTCTTGAGATCTATTTATGCAAATAATGAATAAAAATTACTATCGCAAACTTGTTAAAAAAGTGGTAAAACTTCAGCCTCATTTCGAATGCTGTTTCTAATTCTGATTCTCTCGCAAGAAAGATTGTTTGTTTGTTTGAAATTAAGCACAAAGCTACACAATGGGCTATCTGTGCTCTGCCCACCACGGGTATCAAAACCCGGTTTCTAGCGTTGTAAGTCCGCAGACATACCGCTGTGCCACTGGGGGCCGCAAGAAAGATGTGTTGTAACAAAGAAGTCAGCAACCTTTCATAAAGCAAGTTTTTTCAGTTGACCTGCCATTAGGCTAAAAACAACAACATGCAATGAAATTTTTTGCTAGAAGCAGGTACCCATCACAAATCAACTCTACATATAGGATGGGGATTAGGGTAAGAGTGGATACCACCGTGGCAATCAACCTATAACATCAATCAGGTCAAATAAAGTAATTTTGAATAGACTGAAACAATTATGTATAAGTCAAAGTTTCTTGACAAACACCAAGGAAATAATACTTGAGCCATTAAAAATACAATGTTACAGAGTAAATTAATATTTAATTAGGGCAGTTTGCTGTATGTTTAAGGACATCATCATTTTTACAAATGGGTTTTGTAAATTTACTCCTCAAACCTTGAATGTGATTGTGAGTATGAAAAAAACCTTCTTTACATAAAAATGTATTACTGTTCAATAAGAATTATTAAATTAATCCAATCTGTTTACAGTAGTTACTATAAAACATTATTTCAGATTTAAAAAATCGATAATTGCTTTGCTTTATTCCTTAATTACGTACCAAGTTTAAAGGATTTTCTTATCTTTGTTGCATATAAATTATTAAATTTAATATACATTTTACTAATTATTGGAACATAAAAAAATACATCTGTATGCTTTATGGAGCCATTTACCTACGAAACTGATGCCCAGATAAGCAAAAAACTGGTACATATGCACTTTAAGCATACTGAATTATTTATTTTCTGATTTATTTAGAAATTAATCTACTCTGTAACATTGTGTTTTAATGATTCGATTATTTTATTGCTGCAAAACTTTAACTTCATACTTAAAAAACTCAAAAAACTTTTAAGTTCCTTGTTGGGAATATATTAGTAATATCATATACGAGTATATTTTATCAACTTTTAAAAAGTTAAAATGTGTAAAACTTTGTTTTAATTTTATATTATTCTTGTAGTAAAGTAACAAAAACTATGAAGTTAAATGTATTAATTAATATAATTTTTATCGAAAAGGTGGTTAATACCTACCTTATTATAGTTTGTAATTATAGTACCTAAAAATTTAAATAGGCTAATCTTTTCGTATTAACCACTAATCTTTGATAACGAGACACGTGATAATACACGAAAGAGCACAGATACTGTCATCACGATGAGGTTATGCCTATTTCAGTATTTGAGAAATACCATAGTTTAGCGAAAATGTCGTTAAAAACATATTGATTGTAAATCTATAGATATCCTATCATTAAATAATTTGAAATAAAATACAACTAACCTGAATGTTTCCGATATGTTTCATTTATGTTATTATACATATATTATAAACTATTTGAACTTTGGTAAGTCATTTTACTATCAGCCAAATTTGAAAATATCTTTTTAACATTTCTGTGACAGATGAACTCAAGATATTCATTCATCTTATTTACGACAAACTGTTAATCTTGAGCAGTATGAATATATTTTTAAAAAGTATAAAAACACCGCTATATAAAATTGTTACAAAAAAGACTGACCCCCTTAGGTGACAATTTAATTTTAGTAAACATTAAATATTTTCGTACAGGTATTGGTAAATGTGCTAAAAACGTGGAGACTAATGTGGAAAAAAAATATATTAAAAGAAAATATCATAACTTGCGTATGTGATTATTATATTTATCGTGTATTTGCGAGAATTTATTTGAGCACTTTGTACCTTAAAATAATGGTATGGCTGTACTTGTTTTTTCAACAAATTGTTTTGAAATCCGATTATACGTTTTGTTGAATGTGTGAATGTCAGACTATATGACATATGATTTTAAAACTGTTTCATTCATCTTAACCACTCTCTTTCTCATGTATTGAAGAGCACGGGTTGTCCTGGTGTTAATACTTTGAATTTCAGAGCTGGTAAGCCGGGTTAGAATCCATAGTATATCATGAAATATTCTCCCAACTTAAGCCGTTGGTAAGCTATAAGAGTGACACCCAATCTCGTAGCGTGGATGGTGGGTGGTAGGGTGCTGCTGCCTTCCCTCTGTTCAATACCACCTCAAAATTTGGGACGGCGGCGGGTAGCCTTAATTGTTTTGCGAGAAATACAAATGCACAATAGTTATTAAAAAAAAAAAAAAGACTTTGTCAGAAATAGCTGTAACAAGATGAGGTTGAAAGAGCATAATCATAAAGAGATATTCAACAAACATTTAAAAAGTCTAGATCCAATGCATGTCTTAATGTTTGGCATGCCGGGTTGCAGATCAAAAAGTCCAAGGTATGTACCCGTGATACTAAACGCTCTCCCCACTTTTAACTCTTGGTTAAGAGGAACTGTATATCAGGTAAGCAGTTCTAAATTACAGGTAGCTATGTATGAATCTTGGAATCTCTGACCGGGAAGTTATCTTACATGTCGCATAAGCATAGTTCAGGTCGAAAATATGATATGCTATAATATTTATACATGCACGTACGCAGATGGGATTTGAGGGGGTTCAGCAGAACCCCCTATTTTTATGACGTAAAAATTATGCTTATTTAGTTATAGCGAAGCTGCCTATGAGCTTTAACCTTTATTACATAGTATATATTCTTTACATTAGCATTTTTTGGCTTGAAATAGTCGCATGCCCCAGACCCCAGTAGCATTAACGTGCTTTGCGTACTGATTGTGCTCTGCACAATATGTGTTGGCTTTTGATCTCACAAGTTAGAACCCCTTTTCAAACATTTCGCCTGTATATAAATTGTAATATGTTTTCGTATGGAATAGCATGAATACCTATTTCATTGTCCAGCTGTTTGAATTATGTGATGGTTGAATGGAAGGTATGACTGGAAGCCTTATCTTAGCGACCCCATACCATGTTGACTCGTTTTTCGATAAACCTTTTTTATTAAGTTGCGTACTTTTGCCTGGGGAGCGTGGACAACTTTTGCCAACCAATGAAGTTTGTGATATTAGATTCACACCTGTTTCAATATGCCACTCTTTGCTTACCACAGGTACAGTTTGTTGCAGATCTCTTTCTGCGTCAAGTTGATCCATATTATTTTGTTTTCCAATTCAACTGCATACAAGAGATATCCCCGTATTAGAAAGTTTAAATCCCCCATCTGAGCATAGCTATATGATCTGGGCGTATATAAATTTTGCTTCGGAAAGGGCTATTACATACCTTTTCAAGAAGCAATTAATTTTTGGTGGCATCACACTACCTACAAAACGTCAACCAATGTCAACATGTAGTTCTGATACGTACACTTTATATCGGCTGTGGTTATCTCGTAACTTGCTGATTTGCAAATTAAAAATCGCTTTAATATAATGTGCTGAACCATTTGTAGCAAAACACTATTTCAAAAGGTATATATTTGTGATCAACGGAAACTTATAATAACTTTTTCGTGATTCACCGAATTTCGACTTATAATAACTTATATACATATTGTCACTTTTGCATAAACGTAATGTTTTCACTCTTCTTTTTACTTTTTTCTTCTTCTTACAATATTTCATATACTTTATTTGATTTTAAAGAGTTCCTTTAACGAATCACGTATAATCTAAATAATTATAGCTAGACAGTGACTTGTAGTGAAAAAAAAATCTGCGCCTACCCCCGGTAGGTCAGCAGTAACTTTACAGAATTACAATGTTTAAAGCCAATGTTCGATTCTCCACGGTAGACATAAGGCATATAACCTATAATGTAACTTTACGTTAAAATATCAAGAAGAGCGCAGAAAAATAAACAGTTCGAGGTATATGTATTATTAAAATCAAATTTATATATATATTTGTTTGTTTTTCATTAAAAATAAAGCTACACGACAAGCTATCTAGGCTCTGCCGACCACGATTATTGAATCTTCATGCAATTATTCTCATGTTTTTTGGCATTTTATTTGACTTAGCAAAGGAGGGATAGATACAATTACAATATGCTATTATTAGATCTATAATAAGAAAACGATACTATAAAAAGGGATAAAGAACTGTGTATTCGCAAATATTACTTACTCATGCATTTAATATTTAGCTAGTATTGTGTTAAGATATAATAACACAAGATCTGCATCGTAAAAGAGCAGCATTTTAAACCATAAAAAAATAAATATCGTTAGCACTAAAATTAATAAGTATATTGTATTTCAAGCGTAATATTGTTTTTGAAATAGGTAAAAACTTCAATAGTAATATATATATATATATATATTGAATGGCTTATATATGTATATAAACACAATTTCCAATAGATGGCGACAATCGTAGTGTGAAATTGAAGTTTCACTTGGCGGTTATAAAGTAAAACTATTAATATTATTTTTAAGTGAAGATTTTATTAAGTTATTACCATGGCTTCAACTAAAGATGATCCTAATGAAAGTGAAGAAATGGATCAAGACAGTGCAGAAAGTGACAATAACAGCAATGCTAATGAAGAATCTGACTCTAGCTCAGGCTCGGGCTCCGAAGATGAAGGAAGTTCAGGTTAGGCTTTTTTTTCAGTTTAAAGCTTCTATTCACAAGTTAAGAGTAATAGAGTTTTATCTTTTTACTTTTTGAAGGAGGAGCAGAAATGTCATTCTAGCTTACTAAATAAGACTTGATAATGAAGTAACATACTCATATGAAATTTTTTGAGCAACCTTGCATGTAAATTTTGCTTTTTCTTAACGTGTAAAAAAATTGGCTTCTGAGTTGAGATGTGACTTTATGTAGTGTTAATTTCATTACCAAGGAAAAACAGTGGGCCATTTAGCACATTTAAATTGTACGATTCTACCACTCTCCATTTTCTTCTTGTATGCAGTATTGATTGTTAAAATGCATATTCATACCATTCTTAATAACACTTCCAATGTTGCAGTTTCTATCACAACTGCATACAATCTGTGCCATAGACCTATTACCCTGTTAGAAAATTAATACCACCTTAACTGGAGTTTTGTGTGAGTTTAGCATATCTTAAAGTTTTATTCTGTAGTATATATATATATTTGCTTTTAGGTACCATGGTTTGAGGACCATCTTTTAATTGAGCAAATACCGCAAGTTGCCCAACTCTAATCAAAAGTATTTTGAAAGTTCAAGTATAACAAATCCATTACATTTCCATGCCTGTATTAAGTACACAAGTTTCAAAGAAAGTTAATAAATTTTCTTTTTAACTTCATACTCATTATTTAAAATATCATGAAACTTGTCTAAATGCTCTTTTAGAATTTCTCTAATTACTCAAGTAATTTCACAACCACTAAGTGATTGTTAATTACTTGGACATTTTCTGCCATCCACCTTAAAAATAAGTGAAATATAGGCTGATCTTCAATCTTTTGCACCTCATAACTTTTAATACACTCATTAAAAATTAAGAATAGCAACCCATAAAGCTCTTTTTGTTTTTCTCATTATTATTAGGACAGATATTAACAGACCAAAGTGCCTTATTTTCCTTCAGTTTTAAAATTTTGAGCTTTACCATCTCTGGATTAATCTCAATTTATTCAAGGATGTCATATTATTTTTAAGATAAAATCCACTTTTGGAAATTACCGTATGTTTTCTCTTGAGAGACAACTAAGAGAAAAACACTTTAATGCTCAGTTGTCTAATAATTGTCAACTGAAACCATCTCATCTTCTCTCTCTTTTTTTTAAGGCCCAACCCTCATTCTGACATTCATTTCTCTTTAATATACTTAAAATAAATTATTTTTAGTGTTAATATTTTCTTCCATGTATTTCTAATATGCTCTTTTTGATTTCCTAATGTCTTTTTTAATCATTTTTTAAAACTTTTATAGGCCTTTAACTTAATCTTATATTTTATTAATATGTTTGAACTTTCTAAATTTATAATACGTTATTTTAATTTAACTGTTGACTTTCTTTGTAAGCCTACTTGCTTTTTATTTGTAATAATTTGTCCCTAAAGTTTTCCCACATCAGACAAACATATCTAGCAAACTTACCCAAAATTATGTAATAGTTAAACTTAGGTGTATAATAATTTTATGACCCTAATTTACTATTGTTATAAAGTATTTAAATTAACTATTTATTTGAGCTTGGTCCAGCAATTAAACTGTGAAAGCTTAATAATAACATGGGGAAATATGTTTGAACTATACCTGAACTTGGTTTAATAAATTCCTTGAACTTATTCTTCTGCAGCTTTACTGATTCTGTGTAAGAATATATGACGTGCCCTTTCCCAATTGTGTGTGTAATAATAAATTTATTACACATGAACTGTTTAATTGGAATACAGCCTGAAATATGTAAGAAACATAGTGAGAAAATTTACAACTGATTAATGAGTATGATAATAATCAGTGAAATAAACATGCTGTAATTGAATGTGTAATTTACAATTATTCAAACTGTACAACAATTTTATATTCGTAATCTGCTGACACAGTAAGATAGTATGGCTTACATTCATGTATAGTCAACAGAATAGTTGAATGATAGATTTTAATTGATGTACCAGGCTTAAAAATACATTCTTAAATGTTCAAGGTAAAGCTTCACAGTCTAATTGTTAGAGAACTGTAGACTAATTGCATCATAAAAATGAGCAAGATGACAGCATACTCTTCATCTTATTCATGTAAACTCTTTTATCTGTTAGACATTAAGATAATATAAACGTTTGTGTATTTACACAACAAAACTTTAAAATGCACACATACACACACACACTATAATTAAAGGTGTAATATATATATATATATATGTGTGTGTGTTTAAACCCATGTCATATCAGTTATGCCATTATGCAAGTCTATTTACACAATAGTCTTTTAGTCTGACTAAGAAGTCTCACCTGTATTATTCAGACAATTTCTTTTATCTTGGACTAAATATTTCCTTAAATTTAACAAGTCAAAAGGAACTGTGTTTTCAGGTCTTGCCTCCACCAACTTTAATAAAATCATCTCTTATGTTTTGTGATTTAACTTTGGTGGTAATCTTTTTCAAAATATTCTTCACAGTAGCAATCCTTGCAATGATAAAGAACGGTGTGGCATTAAATGTTTAAGATGTTACCTATTTATAAGTGTTTTTTTATCATAGAGAAAAATTACAAACAGAAAGGTAAGAACTAAAAAGAAATAGTTCTGTATTTTATCACTTTTTTACTAAAATTGGAAACATGTTTATGTATATTAGAATTTTTTTATAATTAGATGTGTTTTTAGCTAGTCATCAAACTTCAAACTATTCATTTCAAGCTTTTAGTTATATGTAGAATAGAAAATTTAAGTTTAATATTACTGAATAAATTATAAGAATAAGTTTAAGATAAATAATAATAATGAAATAAAAAATTCATTTCTACATTTCCTTAAGTTTTACTTGTCAAATTAATAATAATAATACAGTTAAAGTCACTTAAAATACTACAATTGTAAAAGTAGAACCCTTAAAATGAATTGCTCAAAACTAATTATAATGTCTTAGAAGAAGAATGCAAACAAAATACAAAAAGTATAAAGAATAGAATTTCTTTGGAATGAAATTACAAATTATGTACCTATAAAGCAGATGTAACTTATTCTGTATCATTATTGATGAAAATAAAAAAGGTTAAATGATTGTCCAACAACTACAAAGATTATTTTTTCTTCAAGATAACTACAAATGTACAAAAAAAAAGTATTTTTTGCTCCAATATCACATATCTTTAGCACTTAACAGTTGTTCTTTTAAGTTTTTTTTTCTAGATTCAAGATGAGCTATCAAAGCTATTACCAAATACATTGGTTCAGTAAATTCCTAAGCTTTTTTGTTATTAGAAGTTCCTTGCTTTCAAATTAAATTGCAATATCATTGGTACACATTTGTTCAGACATAACACTGTTGGATTATTTATAACCAATAGAAAAAGAAGACTTTAATTCATTGAATTTTCTATAAGGCCAACTCATTTTAACAACAGTTTTTTAATTATTTGTTCTGCAGTGTCATTGTTGCTACCTCTGAGATCACCTCAACCAGCTAATGGAATTATTTTAACCCACTTATAGCTTAGTTAGAAAGCCAATTAAAGTATAATAGTTTTATGACATTGTATTTTTCTGTGTGTTTATATTTTGTATTCTAAGTTGCATGTTTGAAATGTATAAAAAATTACATAAAGTACTTCCAACAACCCTACCAAAAAGTAGGGTTAGCTTTAGTTGAAAATTTTAGAGCAAAAACTTGAAAGTACAAGACCAATATGTAAATGCTAAATTTCTTTTTTTATGTATATATTTTTTTATTCTTATAAAAGTAACTAAAATGTAAAAATTAGAAAGTTATTAGGTTAGCTAAGAAGAATTACTCTTAATAGCACGTACACATCAAAAGGAGGATTGTGCAAATCATAATTGTATATTGTTCTGATAACTCAACCCTTTGTTTACATAAAGGTACCCCAATGTGCTAAATTCCTTTTACTGTACTTCTTAAGTGTAGCTATAAAGCAATAAGTCTAAATACTCCAATATTTGAAAAGTATTAGCTTTAACTGTAAGAATAAGTGATGTGTAATTGTCTATTACAATATGCAGTGATTCTTGAAAGAAAAAAGATAAATTTATATTTATTTCTTTTTTTTTCCAACTTTTCATTTTACCATACACTGCTGATTTCACTATAATTAATATTAAGGTAGAGATAAATAACAGATTGTTTATAAAGTTTAATTTAAAAAAAGTTGATATTCATTTAGGAAACTCTAGAGGTTATGCAAACGAAATATGAAACTAAGATGAAAAAAAAAGTATAATTTTTTTATTAACATGAAAATAACCTTGCTCTCAAACTAGTCAGAGACAGACAGAATCAGTAAATTCAGACAAGTCTTTAATAAAAATTATTTATCAAAAATTCAGAATTTTTTGTGTACAGCATACTTGTAGTGTTTACTAAAAGATTACTAAGTTCAGAATTATGATAAACATTAATTCTTCAATTTGGGCCTAGTCCAATGAACCAACCCTGTGTACCTCGGGTTAGTGTTGTATAAGCTGGTGCGGATCTAAAGAAGAGGGATGTCTAGGGGTCTGGACCCCTCCACTTTTTCCAGGAATTAATAACCACTCTTTGATGTTGTATAAGTAGGCATGTATCTTGGGGGAAGGTTCCAGAAGGCCAATCCCCCTTCCTACTTTTTCAGAAGTAATAATTATGTTGTGTAAGTAGGTGCAAGTCTGGGGGGGGGGGGTCTGAATCCCACTTAATTATTTTTTTAAAATTAATGAAAAACCAGCCAGACTTCTTTACATTAACATTACCATATATTATAAAAAAACATTAGATGTCAGAGTTTTTATTTGATTTAAGTATTAATTACCATAAAAGCTTTTTTGGGGGGATTTTTTGAAATCATCATAGCTGGGGACTACAGCAATCCAGTTAAGACTTCTGATTTTTCTAAGCTAATATAACAATATAAACATCAATTAAATGTTACTATGCTAACATATTGCTCCTTGGCTTTTTCCAGACACTAACAATGTGTCTAGACTTTACAGATTTGTTTTCATCAAAATCAGTATTATTAAGGATACCTCCAGCTCTTATAACTTAGAGTAATTACAGAATTGATTTCATTGTTTAGAAGTTAGAATTATCTTGAAAAAAAAAATGTTTTTCATATTGTTCATGTCCTCATGCAAGTGGTATGACTGTAATGACTTTAAAAAAAAAATTATAACAGATGCCCCTTTTGACAATGCTATAATGTTTTTATAAACATGATTATAAATAATTATAACTGTTTAATTTTAATTAAAAAAATGTTAATTTTTAACTGTTTTCACTTGCATATCAAGCACCTTACTAGAAATAAAGATGCAAACTTTGAAATTACTGGATTATAATCTGACTGAGCTAATTGTGTGAGACTTGTTTAGGTTACTTTAGGACTATGTGGTCAACATTTATTAATCCAAAATACTATAGTATTATTGTGGATGGCTTTTTTCATGTAAAAAAATATACTTAAAATTTGGATCCAGTATTACTTAACAATGTTTCAAAAAGTTAACTGACAACATGCTATCATTGTAAAAATTAAACATTATTGTAGCTAGTGTGAAGTTAAAACATTATTGTTGCTTGTTAACACAATTATACTATATTATATCAATAACAAATGTTCTAGGTCCATAATGGTTTTCAAACTTTGTAAGATAAAGTTATAAACTATAAAAGTTTTATTTAAAAAAATAAGTTGACACTATTCTAATATTCATGTCTTTTGACTTTAAATTCAGGCTACTTGTTTGCCTAATAAATCAAATGAGTTTTAATTAATCGCCTACTTTGATTGGTTACAAATCCTTTAGGTCACAGTGGAGTTATAGATACAACATTTAAGGCTCCAACATCATCTTAAAAATCATGTAAAACAATACTAAATTGTTTGGAATAACAAGTCTGTGAAAAGTGTACACTATTTTTGCAACAGGTGACTGATAAATGAATAAATCTTTTGTTGTTTCTAAATGTTAAACAAGCAGTTGTGTTGGATGTATGATACATTTTCATGTACAAAGTTTAGGATTGAAAAAGTAACTAAATTCTAAATTGTGGTGCCGGAAGTCTGGTAAGATTTTGAAGTCAATTTTAGATGTTAATTTTAATTACATTTCAACACTTTTAACTCAAAAATATTTTAAACTCAATATTTTGTCATTTTCTGACTTTTATTTAATGTAATTCATAAAGAAAAGTATATATTTTTATTTCTAAACTGCTGCAAAGAGTTTCACCTGCAAACAAAACCCACTTGTTGATTTTTTTTTAAAGAATTTTTCCTTCCATCCCAAAGAAAATCTTTATTTTTGCAGAGACCCCTTGAGAATATATTATACATTTCTTGATTTTCAAGTGTTTCCCTCTCTTAATATTTGTAAAGGCCTTTTTATGATGTCACATCAAATGGTTTGATCATTTATAATTAAACACAGTTTAGAAATCAACTACATAAAGAAAATGTAAATATGACTGGAAAGAGCAAGAATTAGGCTTTCATGTGACAATAGAGGTGTGAGAATGTTTTATAGTTTCTGTAAATGTTTCTTTCACTTTCAGTTCCTTTTTGTTTGTGAATTGCGAAAGTATTTGTGTTAACTTATACCTGTTTGAAAGCTACATAAATTTTCTTCAATAAGACGTTACTAAGATAGCTTGAGATAAGGTAAGAGACAAGTTGAATGGGTAATGAAGTAAACTATTATAAGTTTAACACAGTAACAAATGTTCAGTGTGTGGATAGTTTTGTCATCACCAGATACAAGTAGTTTACGTAGACACAGGAATATATGAGTTGCAATGTTTGTAAACATGAATTTTTTTATTATGTTCACCAAATAAAATTGTCATCAAATCAGATACGTTTACTGTTTGGTATGTTAGGTGGCTGCAAAATATTCTGATAACTCAATTTTTTATTGAATATTATAATGTTTATCCTATTCAAATAACATACACAAATAAATTAGCTAACTGGCTACTTAATTATTTCTAATTGCATTTGTGAGATGTTTTAAATAAAACTATTCTTACAATTATTAGTTAATCAGCCTTCCATTACTAGATTAGCAAATACCACTAATCACCCAGCTATAGCATGTAGTTTCATTTGATCTGTAGCTGTAACGATTAATAGCCTCTATCTTTCTTTTAAAATTATAATTTCGGGTTTGTAGTCAAGTAAGTACCAATTTAAATAGTTTGTATGTAACTGTTTAATTGATTTGTTAAAGAAAGTTATAAAGAAAAAAGATAGATAAATAAAAACTAGCTTTATTTATGCAGTCAGAATATAGTTTTGTTAAAACTGTCTAAGATATTAACCTTTAAATATATGATCATGTAAAGTAGTAGTAGTACATTTCAAGTTTTATGTATGTGTGTATATATATATATATAAATATATATATTTTTTACAATGATTTAGAGATGGATGAAGAGGATTGTGAACGAAGAAGAACAGAATGTTTGTTTGATATGGCTGATCTTGAAAGACAATTTATGGATCTTAAAAAACAGTAGGTTTTCTTTAAGTAATAACATCTATTGAGTAGTTTTGTGCTTTGAAAAAATGTCCAGTTTAGTGTGTTTCTTTACTAATAATCATAATGTATGCTTTGCAGTGGAAAAACAAAGATATAATCTTGATCTGTATATTTCAATATTTTAAAGGCAGTATTAAACTACATATATAAAATCCTATCTATATACTGTCTTTTATGACATTTAAGTGCTAAACATCTAGTATGTACTGTTTATATTATACCTTTCACTTTATATAGGAGTTTCCTTGTTATGTGTAACTAATTTAAATGCAACTCAAAATAATATATTTTATGTTATGTTACTTCATATTTTATTAAGCAATAGCTATTCATGAACTTTAAGTTTTTAGTTTTGTTATTGCAAAGGTTAATGCCTATTTCACATGATATTATCAAATATTTCATTTACTAGTTATTTCATTAAAACATTTTGATTGCCATTTTCACACATGAATTTACCAATCAAAAACTGAAATTCTTAAACAATTTTCTACATTACTGAAGGTCTGATCAGTAACTTGCCAAATTATTTCTAATTAATCGAACCTAATTTTGAACCTTTTGCTTATTTGGAAATGTTTTGCATGAGTTATATGAATACAAGTTTTATGTATTTTAGTATGTCATGTGAAAGTTATGTGAATATAGTTGCAATTTAAATGCCAAAAGTTGGCAAACTGTTACAAAGCAGTAGGCCTAAAATTGATTATAAAAATCAAGTTAATTGCATATGTTTAATCTTGAATTGTCTATTGTGGCTTAAAACTAGATGTGTGTAAAAATAGCATTTTCAGATCTATTTTTTTGTCTCCCATAAGTCACTACCCAAGAAGCTTTTCAAAACCCATCAATTGAGCTGGATGGTGAAAGACAAAATAATATGAAACACTATTTATTCATTTCTATCAAGACTTCTTGAACCTACGTGTTTTTCTAACATCATTAATATAAATGCATTAAAATACTTTAAAAGTTATGGTGTAAATGCTGAAAGCTGACAAGCTTTTACAAATCAGTAAGCTAAAAATTGGTTGTAAAAATAAAATTAACTGCAAATGTTTTGTTTTCTCCATATTCCTCATAATTTTTCCATTGCAGCTCAAAATCAGAGTTTGTTAAAATAACATTTCAGATCTATATATCTATTGATTATTTGAATGTGACATAAGTTTTATGTATTTTAAGTATTTCATGTAAAATTAACTCATTGATAAATTACAGGTTATATAAAGAGCGCTCAAAACAGATTATTACCAAATTAGAAGAGGTCAAACTAGGTCGTGCTCCAGAATATCTTCATCCACTCGAGGAACTTCAGGAAAGTATGAGAATTAGAACAGAAGTTGCAGGTAAGTCAGGGTTTTGTTTTTATTTTGATAGGTTTTAGAACACCATGACTTAGATTTTGATACAAAGTTGTAGTTTATTGTTGATTTTGATTAACATAAATTTAGGAGATTTATTATAACTTTAATATATGGAAAATTCATTGTGAGTATAATTTTTAAAGGGCTTGAACTTAAAATGTGTTTTGTATCAATAAAGATTTATGAGTCTTCAATAAGTTAGAAAGTTTTAAGTTTAATAAACTTGTATTTTTAAAAAACAAAATAAAGTTGTCTTTACATAACTATAGATTATTTGTGGGGTTGTCAAGTTCAGTGATAATTTAGAGATTTTAATATTTGTATACTTATATTGAGAAGAGTGATTTTTTTTTCTTTTACTTTCAGGAATTCTCAAAGAGTTAAAATTAGCTAACATAAAAAATAAATATGAAGCAGATAAACTGGCTGCACTTCAGAATTTTGAGGTGAGTGCAAAAAAAAAGTTAATTTGATGGTAACTGATTAGAAAAACCTGCAGTTCCACAGTTGTCAAACAAAAAAGATGAAATGGAAATGTGCTCAGCTTTTATTTGTATTGTTTCAATTTTTAAAAGTGTATAAACTTAAATTGCTGGTTCTTGAATACTTTTCATTAGAGAATTGTAAACCAAAGCTATCTTATCCATTTGTCTCATGTCCTGGCATCACAAGAGGAACTCAGATGTGCCCCCCACACACACCTAAGATTGAATTTAAGTGAATAAAAGCACCCAGATATATGTTTAGAATTTGGTAGTCATTTCAATTTTTAACACACAAAGCCAAATTCAAATGAGTAATGCATGGTATCTCACTATTTTCATGAAGTTAAAAACTAATGCTATATTAGGTAGGGATATATTTGCTCGTATAAAAATAATCCACAACAGTAGAGTTTTCCATAAATATCACAGTTATCTCAAAGTTAGGCAGTAAAGAAAAAAACCTGAAAATAGAAAAATATTCTTGAAATAAAATATTATTTGAAGTCTCATCTCTTTGACTTTAAACTTAAATATAAAATGAATAAAATTGTTTCATTTTTAAACTTTTGAATCACACAAAGCAAAAAGTTACATTGCATAATATTATGAGTATAATTTGAGTTTGTAATATTAAATATACAGGATAATTAAATTATAATAATTAAATTTGCAATTATAGCACTGCTTATAAGTCTAATCTGTCTATCTAATTGTGCATCCGTTATTTTTCAGTCTTCCCATGTGTTTCTATTTATGTGCATGTATACACACACACACACAGTTCTGTAAATAATTAAGGAAATACACAAGTGATGTAGGTACAGAAGTCACAATTAGTGAGTAATTGCAACTAAATGGTCAAAGACATTTAATGCCATGTGTTTGCATGGGTATCTTTGCTGATTGGTCACATTCAGTAGACTTTCATGATGAGTGACACACATACAAGCAATCCTGCTGTCCCCATGAAGCCAGTGAAATAAATGTTGCATGAGGTATATTGGTACATTTGCTAGTATATGTAAATATATCACATTTCATTTCAGTTTTATGCTTTTTTTTATTATTATTTTTTATACATTAGAATAATTAAATGAAGATATTTGGTCTTATAACAGAGTGAAAAAGCATTATTATGGGACTCCATAAAAAATGATCTACAAGAAAAAATCCGAAGGCTTGAGGAAGACAGAAATAATATTGATATTACTTCAGGTGGGTGAGATGTACAAATTTTAAACACTAATATTAATGTTTTTTGATTACTTATAGTTAAAAAATGTTCACAAATAATTATGGATAAAGATTGTTGTAAGTAAAAAGAATGAACCATATCTTTAAGAAGAGTTATATCTTGATGTACTCAGAAGTTTCTGTTGTCCTGGAGCAGACTACATGAATTTTTTTTTTTTATCTTAACGAACCATGGTGGGATCTATACACTATGCCGCCATACAATTGTACTAGAAGAATTTCTTATTGTGCCCATTAGAAAAAAAATCTTTAAATATGAATATGTTTGAAACATATTTTTTGTTTTAAAGAAATTCACATGACATGACATTTGTTATATTGCTTATACTGTATTAAAAACAGGTTGTAGTATTGCTTTTCAAAATAACTGCAAACTTGTTTATAGATATACATGTATAAATGTTTTTATTTATTTTTGTTACAGATCTATGGCATGAACAAGTAAATCATAAAAAGAATAAGAAAAAAACAGACCCATTAAACCCTGATAGGAGAAGAAAGCCAGTTACTGTTTCAGATATCCTTTCATTATTCTGTTGTTTCATATTAGTGTTTGTAAATTTCCTTTATAATCCCGAGAAACAATTCTGTTTTTTTAAAAGTCATTGGTAAAGAAATGACTGTTAATGTGATTATTAATGAGCAGTTTTGTTGTTAGTTAGTAGTGTATGGGTTGTAAGTGTAGAAGGGACTTGTATGTAGAGAGGGTCCAGAAGCATGTTTCCTAGAACATGTGTATCCTATTGGTTCAGCGGTAAGTTGGCAGGCTTATGATGCTAAAAATTGATTTTGATACCAGTGGTGGGCAGAACACATGTAACCCATTGTGTAGCTATGCGCTTACCAGCATTACATTGAACAGACATGTTCAACTTTCTCGTCTAAGTTCAATTTGATGAGATTTGCATTCACTAATGAAACATTGATTTTTGTTTTACCTTGGCTTTTGTTTCAAAAGCATTGGTTGTTATCTTGATTTCTCAAATGACAGTGACTTCTACTTAGTCGTGTGTGAGAGATTATGTGTGATAGGTCTGAAAATGATGCATCATTTTTCATTTGTAACACGAAATGCGAGATGGGTTTGAAAGTGATGTATTGTTGTTCAGTTGTAACAAGAATTGTGTGATAGGTTTGAAAGTGATGCATTGTTGGTTCAGTTGTAACACAAAATGTGTAATAGGCTTGAAAGTGATGCATTGTTGTTCAGTTGTAACACAAAATGTGTAATAGGCTTGAAAGTGATGCATTGTTGTTCAGTTGTAACACAAAATGTGTAATAGGCTTGAAAGTGATGCATTGTTGTTCAGTTGTAACGCAAATTGTGTGATAGGCTTGAAAGTGATGCATTGTTGTTCTGTTGTAACACAAAATGTGTAATAGGTTTGAAAGTGATGCATTGTTGTTCAGTTGTAACACAAAATGTGTAATAGGTTTGAAAGTGATGCATTGTTGTTCAATTGTAACACAAAATGTGTAATAGGTTTGAAAGTGATGCATTATTGTGCAGTTGTAACACAAAATGTGTGATAGGTGTGAAAGTGAAGCATTATTGTTCAGTTGTAACACAAATTGTATTATAGGTTTGAAAGTGATGCATTGTTGTTCAGTTGTAACAAAATGTGTGATAGGTTTGAAAGTGATGCATTGTTGTCCGGTTGTAACACAAAATGTGTGATAGGTATGAAAGTGATGCATTGTTGTTTAGTTGTAACACAACATATGTTATAAATACAGATGTAGTTGCTAATTCATTTCAAAGTAATATGTTTCAGAAAAATAGTAACCAAAACGTTTTCCATTTTTATAAATCAACTGATACATATTTTAATGGTGTATTTGTAATTCTTGAATTTTCTATGGAATCAGGAAATATTGAAAGTACTTTGTGAGACTAAATACCCACATTATTTAACATATATCTTTTTTTCTGAAATATATCTTCTTAACCATGTAAAAGATTGACCCAAAGATTCATTTGAAAGAAAGCTTTGTTTTAAAGAAATGGAGAATTAGAAAGTAATTTGTTGTATTCTTTATCTGAAATGCCTTAACAATGTAACGTCCATATATTATATATATGTTGCATGAAAATGAAATTTTAGAAGATTGGACAACAATAAGAAAGGTATATTTAGTTATATATTAGTATTTGTTTTAACCATTAAAGTATTTATTTTTGTAGTAGTAGTAAATAAGTTTTATTATATTTGACTGTTGGATGAATTTTTAAAGTGTTACTGAAATGTAAGAATATTATATACAAGGTTACATTAGGCCATTGAGAATGCTGAAGTTACTTGCCTGCTTATCATTTAAATATCTACCTAACAGAATTTTAAGAACATAAAAAAACCTACAATGTATCTGCATCTGGATTTCCCAAGTTTATATCTTTTGCTTTTAATATTCAAGGTTTTGTTTTCAACCTTTTTATTTCACCACTCAAACAAACCTCCAAATTCCTAACAGTTGTAAACACCTGATTATTTTCAGTTCTTTGATCTTAAAAAAAGTTTCTTAAACTAAGTATTATTCCGGCATATTATCTTTACATTCCTTTAAGTGTGGTTCTTTCCTTGCAATATTCCAAATAAAGCCCCACTAGAGTCTTGTATAAGAAATGGTTATCTATTTGTATAATAATAATGTTCTTTCCCCACCCCACAAAAAAAAAAGAGTATGTAATTTTTTTCCAAGTGCATAACATAAAACACACATGAGCTTGTTGATTTTATTATTCATACCTTTTTTATGATTTTTTTACATCTCATTTTTTATTGTCATCTCTGTTTATGGTATGGTTTATTATTTGAATTTTATACCTTAGGTCATCTTTAGGTTATTTGATTATCTGTTATGTTATAATTGTTAAACCATTTAACTTTTATATTTATGGCTATTTATTGTACATAGAAAGTGCTTAAAATGTAAAATAATAATGATCTATTTAGCATCTAGCATTCTAAGGACTGTAAGGGTTGTGTATTTGTTGGATATTTTATAAACAAATGATTGTCAAAAGTATAAAACTTTTTTCTTTGACATTTCATATGCAAACCTAGAATGTAAAAAGTTATCAATTCATGACTTGAGTTTATTGATAAGAAACTTAGCTCTTAAAATAAAAGGTATATTATTAAAATAATTGATTAGTAGATACTTATTCAAATGTTTATGAACTTATTTTTAGGCATTGAAAACAGCGAAACAAAAGAGTGAACGTGAGTATAATATATTATGTTGTGTTTATTTAAGGTTCAAGGGATTAATAATGTGTCTATAATATATGTATATATTTTTTTCTATGTTTGCTATGTTCAAAATCATTTCGTGTGTCAATACTAAATCAGCTAATTACTATTTGTAGCTCCCAGTGTTTATCATCCTGTGTTCCTGTGTGAAAAAAGTGTTTAATTATTATCATTATGTGATAAGCACTGTTACTGTCTTGTGAATGAAGATGACTTGTCTTAGATTATTATTATTAGGGTATTCTTCTACGTTAAGGCTTAGTATGTTCTGGGTGCTTATCACATTTAGTATCTTTCATTCACTTTGTTTTATACTGTATGTACAATGTCAATATGCAAAACTGTTTACATTTCACGTGTGCTGTTTATTTACCATCATATGTTTAGCATTGGTTCTTCTTTTTTTTTTCATCTTATGCATACATTAATAGTTAACTTTAAAATATTAAATTATGTATTTTTGAAAGGAAGTTTTTATTCTACTAGTTGTATACAACACAAGTTTAATGAATGATAGTTTTTTAGTTTTCGATGTTTAAGAGACTAGATATAATTACTTATAGTTGTTGTCAAGGTGAATATATTTGATGGCTACAACAATTACAATACATATTAAAAAAAACATTACATTGTAAATAAGTACAGTTGTATATATATATATATATATATACTATCAATTTCACTTACAGAAAGTTTACCTGATAGTATTACAATGACAAATACCGTATTTTTCGGAATATGAGTTGCACCGGTGTATAAAACGCACCCTTATTTTGAAGACAAAGTTTTTGGGGAAAAAAGCTACAGTCGCATTTGAAAGATTTTTATTTAACAAAAATTCAATTTGATACTTTAAAAATTAGTATATATCGTTCTAAACACAAAGGAGCTCAAAACATCAAAATAAGAAAATACCGTAAATCAAAAAAAAGGTTTACTGGTTCAAAACCTACAAAATCTTCATTGCTTTCACTGTAATTTATTTTTTTATTATTTAGGGAGCATTATAAATAGTTATGTTTTTAAAAGAAAAAAAACTAGAATTGTTATAAATAACACATTCAATTGAACTAAACTATGCATGCCTATTTAAATATATTTACACATGGCTTGTGTGTGTACCATATATATACATATATATTATTCATACCTTCGGTGTATAGGATGCAAGCAGATTTTGTGGTAAAAAAAAAGTGCATCTTATACACCAAAAAATACGGTACTCTCTCTGTTATGACTTAGCTATTACAGTTTTATTGAAAACTGATTTCAGTTTCACTCTGGTTGGAATATCCTTTATGTACTGTCCAGAATGTACCAGATCTTCATTTAAAGGAAATTGTAACCACTGAGAAACTGAAACCTGCTCTCATAGTCCATAATCCAGGTTTTGAACTCTCTCACAGTCCATGAGCCAGGTTCCAGGTTTTGAAACCTGCTCTCATAGTTCATGGTCCAAGTTCCAGGTTTCGAAACATGCTCTCATTGTTCATTAGCCAGGTTCCAGGTTTTAACTGATAAGTACCAAATGAAACAATGCTTTTCTAAAAGCTTATTATTTGTAGTTTCCAAACATGTATGCTGGACATCTGTACCTTGTAGCTTTTTTGGTAGTAGTTTGTTTCCAAATAGAAATACCATCAAATGATGTCGGAGGTTTTTGGTGGATGTGTGAGGATGACAGCTCGTACTTGAATCCAACCACCTCAAGTAATACTTATCAAATCATTATTGACTAGACATCACTCTTCAATCTTAAAGGCCTCTATCAACTGGCTCAATAATAAAACTACTACATTGATGGAATAGCATTAATATGTTTCTCTTTTGAATTTTCAACTCATTCTGTGTCAAGATTTATTTTGGAAATGAGCTCAGTTTTTTATTTCATTATATTATGATCTGCACCAAATACAGATGATAAATAAATGTTACATACTTGGATTTATGCATGATGTATATTATTTCAATGAAACTTCAGTAAAGAATAGGAATGCTTTTCTCCAGTACTTGTAATACAAAATTCAGAATAAATCTGATAAAGATCATCACAAACAGTTTGTCCAAAACCATCGAGGGAGCATGGACTGTAATGCCTGATAACACGTGAATACATTTTGGAAAAAAAGAGAAAAATAAGACGAAAAATGATTTTCCTAAGTTAACTTGGGCATGGAGGGTGCCTGAGTTATTTCATGCAAGTCACAGAAAGAGTTAAGCATTGATGGTTGTGTAACAGGATATACCCTAATGTTTGAAGCAAATGAGTACCATATTTATTGTATAATTATGCAATTGTTAGCATCTCCCTACACGACATTTTTCAAATTAAGAACCATAATCTAGCATTTGTTTGGCAAATAAAAATGAATGAACAAAAACAGTTTCTGACTGATTTACATTTACATATGTAATTTTAACATACAAAGTATATGAGCTCCTAATTTTGAAGACTGCCCTATTTCAATCAAGACTTTATATTTTTACTAAAGACAGTTTCTTAGGAAACCATGTTACACTAATATGCATTCACTAGAATGGTTACTAACCACCACATCTGTAAGTCATTTTTCATTTATGTGATCAGTTTTTAGTCAGATTCATCTTAAATATCCTCATCATCAAGGGAAAAATGCATTGAATCATCTTAAGTGGCATCTGTCATGTTGGTGCACTCCTGAATCTTGCACTCCTAAATGCACTTTAGTCCATCAGACATGCATTGACAGGTACGAGGGCATTTACAGGATATGAATTCCAAGATGACATGAGGTGCAGGAGAGCTAGTTATCCATTTGATATTAAGATTCTGTAGTTATTCTGGGGAGATACTACCAGATTTCATATCTATATGACACTTTGGTAGTTATTGGTTCTCAGAATATGTTGATAAAGACTATCTTCACATGGAAGTAGCTGTCCTGATTCCACTGTCCCTTTCTTTGCTGGTAACAGAATTTATTCAAGTGACAGATAGTAGCACATGTAAACTCTTGGAGGACTGCAAAGAGTTTATGTGGTAGATGCTACTGCTCAGAGTTATCAGAATAGCTGCTGCACTGGGAGATGATGTCTGCACTTCCTTGTTGGGATTGCATTTATTCACTGGATATTAAACAGTCAGTGCCTTTTCAGGTCAAGGCAAGCTTAAGGGATTGAAGTTCATTTGCCAGTGCCAAGCATTTCAAGATGCCTTCACAGCTTTTTAAGCAAATGTGCTTTTGTCACCCATTAGGTTCTGCAGAATTGCCATACCATGAATGATGGTTGCAGATGGCAATATGAAATGCTCCTGTGATGACAACTGCTTCTGAAGATGCCTTGCCAGTCTGCTTTTTAAAGTTCCATTACAATTTTCCGAGCTTCCTAGTGGATGTTATACTAGTACCTGTTTCACATTCATTTTTCTACTGTTGTCTATTGAGGATGGTTTCCTTTTTTGGAGGATTTGATTCTTGTTGTTGTTGCCTGTATACTGCTTGAAAGACTTTAACTCCAGTTCTAGGAGTAAGTCATAGAAAGACGAGCTTTTCATAAGTCTTAAGTCAACAAATACTTGATATGCAGTCTCTCCTTGTTCTTGGCTTTGAGAAGATAATTTCTACATCTAAGGGTGTAGTAATACCTGAGGATATGCTCTGCAGATTACCATCACTTGAACCAAAGGGATTAATCTAAGTGCTTTCAAGAAGGTCAACAGCTGATTGTGCATTGCTTTATCCCTCTGAATATGGGATGTTCCTAAATGGGTATGGCTGATACCATGTCTAGGGAAATTGATCAAGCTATGAAGCTATCTCAGGCACATGCTGCGACATTCTGCTATCAGGTAGCACTTGGATACTGCAGTGGGTTTGAGGCTGAAACCCTTAGTACCACCAGAAGTCTGTGTGTCCCTGTTAACAGTTTTCTCTACAGTCTGATTCTCTGGTATTCTGCTAAATGCATTTCTTTCATTCATTTGAACCAATACTCCACCTGATGGTCCTCTGGTAGCCTTGTTATCCGGGCATGATACACAGAAAGGTACCAGGTATAGTTTTGGTTATCATATGTGAAGCATTATGGGATCAGCAGATGTATGGCATGCGGGTGGAGGGGCCAGTTCCCCTCTCTCTGGAAGCCTGAAGCAGAATCAGCAAAATCTTGATGATATCTGTGTAGAATGAAGGATACTTGAAACTCTTTTCCATTTCATAATAGGCTATGATGCTTATCGAACCAGTTCAGAGTATGTGCATAAGACACATTTTCTAAGGGTCAGAAAGACTGGTGATCTGGTTTTCTACTGACTTCAACTGTCATAAGCATGTCATGCAGCTTCAGCTATTCATCAACATTGTATTCTTCCATCCAGGGATAAAACCCTATTTATGAAAGTCAGAGAAGATCTCCATAAATGGTATTGTAGGGCCTTCTGCAATCACCCCAGCTTCCACTGCAAGATGATATAGATCTTCATCACTGACTTGCTTCATGATGATAGAGAAAAAGATAGCAAATTGTGTGGAAGGCATCCATCCTCAGGACAATGTCAGATAATTGTTCTACATTTTTCCACACTGTTTCTCCTGTCTTTGCATACAAAACACATGGCCAGGTGGTTAGGGCGTTCGACTCACAATCTGA